AGGCCTTTTGTGTACATAGAAAAAGTCTTAGATCTTTGAGTTCAGGTCATGAAAAATGGGGGCAAAAACAAAAGTGTTGCGTTTATAATTTTGTTCAGTGTAATTTGGTTTGGGAGTCCCCAACAACAGGTTTACATGCATGCAAGGTCAAAAACACTTTCATTTTCTTATAATATGCATTTAATTTTACGTTATTTCTCAACGATTCGTTTGAAGATTCATCTTTCCAAACCCCTCCTTTGCATAATGTTACTCTGCTCTGATTGGTCCGATGACCCAGTCTGTTGTGATTGGTCTACTGCGTACAGCGCATGTCGGAAACAGACCGCCCATCATCAGTACTGGAATACGGCTTATCAATAATTCATCCTATTATAATAATAATGGTGCTCCATTCTGTTCTAAAAAGAAAAAATCACGCAACAATGTAGCGAACTGGACCCACAGCTTGCTAGTAAAGACCCAAACAATAATGGTATATGTGTTAGCCGAACACAGAGTACTGATAAAGTACTGCAGTTTTTATGTAAACCAATGTATTGCTCCATCCTTTATCATGACGCCAAGTACAACAGACAATCTATATTAATCGACACATTTCTAGACAATAGCGGGCCCACAGCTGATTAGCAGAACTATAATTATACTTACTGGTTGTGATTCGGAAGAGCAAACTGTTCAAAACAAACTGGGCACTGACCTAATATGCATCTTTCAAAGATAACCGGTTTACGAATCCCGCGTTGAACTTTCTGAGATTGGAGAAGCAGTCATCAGTAACAGTAGGTTACCCTCAAGACAGACCTACCATGAGCTCTGAGCTTGTTCAGTGATGCTAATGTAGAAACAAGTCAGACTAAAAATCATGTTCAATAGTCACTGTTCCCATGGAAATTAAATTTGTGGCAAAAGAGCTCAGCAGTTTCTGCTCACTCCTATTAAGAACTGTAAAAAAATTATTCAAAAACAGCTTGTTTATATATAAATTAATATATATTACAAATAATACAATATTTTGCATTATAGTAATATATAATATTGTTAATGTTATGTTCATTATATTATATCTATCTATGTAACACTTCTATTAATACTTTTATTCTTCAAGGATGCATTAAATTGATCAAAAGTGACAGCAAAGACGTTTATAATGTAAATTTCTATGTCAAATAAATGCTGTTCTTTTAAACTTTCTATTCATCTGTGAATCCTGAAAAACATGTATCACGGTTTCCACAGAAATATGAAGCAGCACAACTGTTTTCAACACTGATAATAATCAGAAATGTTTCATAAGCAGCAAATCAGCATATTAGAATGATTTCTGAAGATCATGTGACACTTCATTTCCAGTGATATCGTTGACTTGATTGCAAATGATTGCACAGATACTATTTAAACTGAACTGAGCTGGATGATGACATCACTGAATTCAATGATGAACTGTCTTTTAACTGAAAAATGAGTGTGTACTATTGTCACTTTGCATTATTGACACACTATTTTCCTAATTAATGCTGTTCAGTTGCTTTGACACAATCTGTATTGTTAAAAGCGCTATATAAATAAAGGTGACTTGACTTGACTTGACTTGACTGAAGACTGGAGGAATGATGCTGAAAATACAGCTTTGATCACAGAAATAAATTACATTTTAAAATAGAAAAGGTATTTAATTAATACATACAGTGTGTGTGTGTGTGTGTGTGTGTGTGTGTGTGTGTGTTCAAATCAAACATAAAACATTTTTCTGCTTTAAATCAAAGTTAGTAATGTGATCCTAAAGCTTTTGTTTTTCTCATATGCAGGTCAGAAGATCAGTCCTGATGGTAAGGCGAAGATCCAGCTTCAGTTGGTTCTGCACACGGGAGAAAGCACCACCTTTCATTTCGCCAATGAGAGCACAGCACTGAAGGACAGAGACGCCACCAAAGAACTCCTGCAGCAGCTCCTGCCCAAGTTCAAGAAGAAAGCCAATAAAGAGCTGGAGGAGAAGAACAGGTGAGTTTGATTGTATATCATTTGCCATCATTAAATTCTGACATATTTTACTATAATATGTGACCCTGGAGCACAAAAGCAGTGTTAAGTCTCTGGGGTATATTTGTAGCAATAGCCAACAATACATTGTATGGATCAAAATTATAGATTTTTCTTTTATGCCAAAAATCATTAGGATATTAAGTAAAGATCATGTTCCATGAAGATATTTTGTAAATTTCCTACCGTAAATATATCAAAACATAATATGCATTGCTAAGAACTTAATTTGGACAACTTTAAAGATGATTTTCTCAATATTTAGATTTTTTTTGTACTCTCAGATTCCAGATTTTCAAATAGTTGTATCTCAGCCAAATATTGTGCTATCCTAACAAACCATACATCAATGGAACGCTTATTTATTCAGCTTTCAAATAAGGTATAAATCTCAATTTTGAAAAATTGACACTTAAGACTGGTTTTGTGGTCCAGGGTCACATATTGGCAAACTGGCCACCTGGCTCTCTCTGTATTGGTATTAGCTGACCTCCAGCGGATGTTTTATGTTCCAGGATGTTGCAGGAAGATCCTGTTCTGTTCCAGCTCTATAAGGACTTAGTAGTGAGTCAGGTGATCAGTGCTGAGGAGTTCTGGGCCAATCGGCTGAGCCTGAATTCTGTGGAGCACTCCCTCTCCAACAACAACAAACAGGAAGTGGGCATTTCTGCTGCCTTCCTGGTGAGTTCAAATTAGGGCTGTGCGATTAATCGAAATCGAATCGAAATCGCGATTTGAGACGTTGCGATTTCCTAATCGCAAAGTCCTATTGGAATAATGCCCAAAACAAAAAGGAATTTTGTAATGGTTTAATGGAAACTATAAGAATTTCTGTGATAGTTGCTATTGTTTTTTTCAGCAGGGTAATGATACCCATGCTGTGCTGCACATTATTGACAATATTGAGCTGAAGCTTGACTTTGCAAATTTAAAATCGCAAATCAAATCGCAATATCTGTCAAAAAAATCGCAATTTGATATTTTCCCCCAAATCGCACAGCCCTAGTTCAAATACATCATGAGACGGACAGTTTATTGAAAGCACTTACAATGTAAACTCACCCCGTGATCATGTTGTCACCGTGGTTACAGGCCGACATCAGACCGCAGACAGATGGCTGCAACGGCCTGCGCTACAATCTGACCACAGACATCATTGAGTCGATCTTCAGAACTTACCCTACAGGTGAGAAATGTGATTATGATCTTACTCAAACTACCACTATAATCGTTCGAAATGGGTGTGTTCCAAACCCTAGTGTGCTGCCTTGTTGTCTACTGTCTGTCTTCTTCTAAGGTGGCACCCTAACTGATATGGATCCTCATAAGTGACAGATTTAGAAGAATCTACATAAGCCGGATTCACGATTTTTTTGGCACTAGCATTTGGCTAAGCTCACTGTGTGATACTCTATTAAGCATAAAAATACATAATGCTTGTTATTGATAACTTTCTGTATTGAAAGAATGACTTTTCTCTCCCTTAATCGAACATCTTGTTACATTGCATTTTGAATGGAAGCCCATTTCCACCATTTAAAAACCATATATAACAATCATGCTTAGGTAAATCATAAATATCAGATAAAAATTCATAAATATGACATAAAGGTTATATAGTTTTTTTTGTCATAATTGTTTTTTTTTTTTGTTATAGTTTCAACTTTTTATGTCGTAATTACTTTCTATCTCATAATTATGACTTTTTATCTCATAATTTTGCCTTTTTTTTATAATTCTGTCGGTCATAATTATGACTTTTATATCAAAATTTTGACTTTTTAACTCTTAATTTTATTTGATTTATCTCATAATTTTCCTGATTTTGACTTTTATCTCATAATTATGACTTTTAATTTAATTTTGATCTCAGTTTCAATTTTTTAATCTCATAATTTATTTCACAATTTCAACTTTCATGTCATAATTATGATTTATCTCATAATTTCATCTTATGTCATAATGATTTTTATCTCATAATTGTACATATATATTTTTTTAGTTTTAGAGTTTATATTTAAGTTTAAATGTTTTATCTCATAATTGTTTTTGTTTCATAATTTTAACCTTTATGTTATAATTATGATTGTTTAACTAGTATCTCATAATTTCTATGGCTTAGTAAGTCATAATTTAATATGACCTTTATTTAATAACTATGACTGTTAACACTGATAATTATGATCTACCAAATTGTTCTCTTACGTTGCAGAAATGTATAATTCTGGTATTCTCTTCTCCACAGAGAATACATGTAATGTTGTTCGTATTTGACCAAAAGATGGTCAGATCAATCATAGCAAGGGTCATTTACATTTAGTAGTCTTAAAGGTACAGTACCCTGTTTTAGGTCACAAAAAATGGTTTTAGGTGATGAAACACTTAGTGTGCTTTGTGCAAGAAACACTGACTGATATTATAAGGACAAATCAAATGCTCTAAAAGTATTGAATATGAGCCTTTTCTGCTCACAGTCAAGCAGAAATACGCTGAGAATGTTCCTCACAACATGACGGAGAAGGAGTTCTGGACGCGGTTCTTTCAGTCTCATTACTTCCACAGAGACCGGATCAACACAGGCCTGCAGGACATCTTCTCAGAGTGTGCCAAAGAGGACGAGAAGGGTACTGCATTTTATGAAGTCTTTATTTAATGTTTTGAGATCTTATGAACTCTGAAGGAGTCTTCCATGCACTATTGACTTCAGCTGACCATGTTTAATGGCTCTTATGTGTCTTTCTGTTGTGATGGAGTTTGTTTCTTCGCATTTTTCAGGCCTGAAATCAATGGTGACCCAGGGAGTGAAGAACCCCATGGTGGATCTGCTTTCTCTCGAGGATAAAACATTAGATGAGGTGAGGGCTGTTAAACTTTGAAACACATTTCCTCTGCGTATTGAATGGTTTGTTGACACTGGATGTCTCTGTGTCTCTGAAGGGTTACGGCACAGCTACAGTTCCCACTACATCAAACTCATCAAACAAATCACTGAGAGAGAACAGCAACTCTGCCATAATCAAACGCTTCAACCACCACAGTGCCATGGTGAGCAAAGCATACACCCCTTTAGATGTAGCAGAATCACTGTTGCTTTATGAATAATAATTATAATGTCGATATTGAAAAATATAGAAAAAATATTAAACCTAATTTAGATATATATATATATATATATATATATATGTAAATTAGGTTTAATATTTTTTCTA